TTTTTTTCTTTTTTCAGTTTTCTGAACTTTGGTTACCCCTGCTTTTAACCTCAAATGCCTAGACAAGGAGAAGGGCAAGGCCAAGTCCACGAATTGAGTTTATACAAGAGTTCAAAATTCGAGATTATATGTATCGATACCTTTTCTTGACATTGCAAATTTGGAATAATTCTTTGTGATGTACAAAATTTTAATATCATACGGATTCTTTTAATTTTTTATCTGGCAAATATTATTTTGTACGGTTTTTTTTTTTATTTTTTTAATTCATTGGTTGGACTTCTAATGGTTCTCATCTTTGAATAGGAATATAAGAAGATTTCGTAGAAAGTAGCAAAAAGTATGACGTGTTGAAAAGAGCCAGGAAAGAGAGGAAAGGTTTTAGGTAAGCGATAATGTGCAGCTAGAAATTAGAATTATGGGATTGTTAAAAAGTTTTGGAGCAAATATATGGAAGTCATTAATTATCCTTACCATGGTTAGAGCTAGGGGTGTACATGGACCGGGTTGGATCGATTTTTATCAAAACCAAATCAAACCAACTATATCAGTTTGTATTGGTTCGATTTTGTCGGGTTTTTCGGGTTTTCATTTTTTTTTGTTACATGAATATTATTCCAATCTTACTTTGTTAAAGTTATAGATAAAGTTTTGATAAGTGAATGTATGTTTAGTAAATATTGAAAAAATTGACAAACATATGATCTATTAAAATATTCTAATGGAAGAATTTTTTTAGTAATACATGATAGTTATTTCTTAGTCGTCTAACAATAATTTCGTTAATGTACGCTTTCAAGGTTAATACATGAGAGGATCCCAAATATTTCAATATTTTTTAAAGAAAATTCAACATAAAATCTTAAAAACATATATAAAAATTATATATTTATATGTCGGTTTGGTTCGAATTTTTATACTCAATACCAAACCAAGTCAAACAAAACCTAGTCGGTTTTTTTAATTGGTTTGGTTTGATTTTTCGGTTTGATGCGATTTTCCGGTTCGGTTTGAACACCCCTAGTTAGAGCTTTACTTTGGTTAATTAAATCTTAGCTTTTAAATTCTTAACCCCGCGCATAGCGGGAGCTTAGTGTACCGGGTTGCCCTTTTTATGCCACGTGGTTCCATCATGTAGGAACTTGGAGAAATGGAGAAGAGCTTCATCCGAGCTGGATTATATTCGGATTCGCATCGCGTAAGGGGGTGAAATTCAAAAATAGCCAGATTTACAAGTGGTAATTGAAAAATAGCTACGGTTTCAAAAGTAATCGAAATTTAGCCACTTTTCATGTAAAGATAAATCTGAACGAAAACACTGTTCGAAATCCGAAAAATATTCCAGTATAATATACTGGACTTCCAGCGTAATATACTGGAGTTCCGGCATAATATATTGGACTTCCAGCATAATATACTGAAGTTTCAGTATAATATATTGGTCCAGCATAATATGCTGAAAGTTCATACACAAGTGCTCCAATTTTCAGTATATTATGCTAGAACTTTCCGTGTGTTGGAGTTTCAGCATAATATGTTAGAAGTTCATACACAAGTGCACCAATCTCCAGTATATTATGCTGGAACTTTTTGTGTTGCAGCAAAATAGTGGCTATTTTTCAATAATTTTGCAAACGCTGTCTTTTTTCAAGGGCAAAGGTCCAAATATGCCCTTGTACGATACAAAATTGAGCATATTTGCCATTCGTTAATACTTTAGCTCAAATATGCCCTTACCGTCACATAGTTGGTCCATATATGCCTTTAGAGTTATACGGTTGGCCCATATATGCCCTTTTCGAAACGGAATCCACCCAAACTAGTTAACTATTTCGTTAATTGTATTAAAGTGTATTACAAACACTATTTCCTTTTTATTAGTATTTTTTTTCTTTACCTTTCTCTTTTCTTTCTTCTTTTTTCTTTTCTTCTCTTTTTTTTTCCTTTTTTCTTTCTCCTTTATCCATTTCCTCCATTATTGATGTCTTCTCTATTTTCGTCACCAATTTCACTTTACAAAACTCATGAATTCCAATTACTAAGAAAATTCTCCCATAAGGTAATCAAGTTCCAATTTCACTGGCCCTCCAAATAAATGAAATTAAATTGTTCCAAAAATTATGGTTTAAACTTTAAAATAATAAAAATATCTCAACCTTTAAAAATACTCAAAAGACCAAAATATTTAAATTATTTTCAGAAAGATAATTTAATGATTAAAAGCCTAGAGTTGAAGTTGTAGTATTATAAATTTGAGTTATTAGTCTTTTTTTATTTTTTTTCAGCTGGACATTTTCTATTTTTTTATTAACTATGTAAATTAGGGGTGTACATGGAACGGGTTGGTTCAATTTTTATCAAAACCAAACCAATTATATCGATTTAGATTGTTCGATTTTGTTGGATTTTTCGGATTTTTTGTTACATAAATATTATTTCAATCTTACATTATTAAATTTTTTAGAACTAAATATATGTTCAGTAAAAATTTAAAAAATTGACAAACATATGATCTATAAAAATATTCTTATGGGAGAATTTTTTTAGTAATTGGAATTCATGAGTTTTGTCAAGTGAAATTAGTGATGAAAATAGAGATGACATCAGTAATGGAGGAAATCAGATAAGGGAGAAAGAAAAAGGGAAAAAAAAAAGAGAAGAAAAGAAAAAAGAAGAAAGAAAAGTGAAGGTAAAGAAAAAAAGTACTAATAAAAAGAAAATAGTGTTTGTAATACACTTTAATACAATTAACGAAAGAGCTAATTAGTTTGGGTGGATTCCGTTTCGAAAAAGGGCATATATGGGCCAACTGTATAACTCTAAGGGCATATATGGACTAACTATGTGACAATAAGGGCATATTTGAGCTAAAGTATTAACGAAAGGCAAATGTGCTCAATTTCATATAGTACAAGGGCATATTTGGACTTTTTCCGTTTTTTCAATTACCAGTACAAAAACTGGCTAGCCCGTGCTATTTTTACCGCGTAAGGTCCATTTAAGGGGGAAGCACTCCATAATAGAATTTTTTCCATACTCAGGGCTCGAATGCTAAATCTTTGATTAATGGGTGAAGGGTTCCTATCTATCCTATCACAACTCATGATGGTTACTCAAATCTTTCATATATCCAGTTTTTCAATACATAGATACACTACACCGACAGTGTAAAATATTTTTGAACTATATTGCCAGTTAAAAGTCAAATTGCAAGTGACTTCCTATAGATTCATGAACTCTGACCTGCAAAAGATGGTAAGTTAACAACCTGTAAAAATACACTAACATTGTGAAAACATACACTTACTTTACTAGTCATCTCTCTGGAATTCAAAAACGGATACATATTTTAAATCTTATGGGTATTCGAGCAGAGGCGGATCTAGGATTCGAAGATGGCGGGTGTCATAATTTTCCTAATGTAGACTTTGTAATAATTAATATAGAGTTTGTTCGAAACACTTGTTCAGTTTATTTTTTTTAGTTTATTCGGGCATTTTAATTGGCATTTTTTATTTGCAAATAAGAAAATTGCATCTCGATCGCATACCCTACTTGTGAGATTTCAGATATGTTGTTGTTATTGTTAAATGAAAATTACATCTCAGACATCAAGAAACAAATGTAATTAGCATTTTAAAGAAGGAATCACACCTTCATTATTAACAATACAAGTAAAATCAATATTTTCAATCGGGAACTCATCTTTTTTGTATGCTAAAATAAATCTGCACAAGTAAAATAACATATTCAATAAGGAAATTTCACCAATCAGAATAAGAATAATAAAAAAAAATCTTCAATACATAAATTATACCCCATGAGAAAATGCAGAATTAGATAAACTACAAGATCCCAAAAAGTAAAATAACAAATCTCATATTTTTCTAGGCAATGCTTGCGAAATATTCATCATAATTTAATAGTAAAGAGATTTAAGTTGTATTTAACAATTATAGAATAGCACAAATTTTTATGTTATAATAAAAAAATTATAAAAATTAAAGGTGATCTCAATCCAAAATTCCTATAACACCCAAGTTTTTTTATTTTGAAAGAAAAAAATTAAAAGATTTGAGATTAAGAGAGATGCTTATTTTATGAAATTTTAAATTTTGGAGGCTCTTAAAATAATAGAATATAAAAAAAATATAAAAAATAATAAACGACAAATAGAAAATTAGGAGGTAGCCAAAAAGGAAAATGATTGGGACAAAGGAAATAAAATGAAGAACAAAAAGGGAAACTCAGATAAGGTTCAAGATAAATTCGAACTTGAATTTTACACACGAGAAAAGCTTTTAAAAAGGTCTACCGGCTGTGGCACCTTTGCCTTGTTTGCAACTAGGGGTGGCGTGATCAAATATTTAACCTCGTTTAAGAAAGGTTTTATATAAATATATGATAATTTTACCAACGTAGCGGGTGTCATACCACCCCACCCTAAAGGGTGGATCCGCCACTGTATTCAAGGTTCTCCATAATTCATTTGATTTATTAATTAGGTTCGAAATCAATTATTTCTTCATATATTGACAGTTCGAGCAAAACTTCTTAGTTCCGATGAACCATAGCTAATCTTATGCATCCGTCCCTGCTATAGATTAATTTATTATTCCGTCCGTCAGATAAATTACTTTACTTTTTAGTATGTTTTAAAATAAATGATATATTTTTTAATTTGGAAGTAATTTAACTTTAAGCTTTTCATTTTACTTTTAATGAGAAGTTTTTATAACCACACAAATGTCATGGCCTCACAAAGCTTTTACATCTTAAGCTTTTAAGACTACAAACTTCAAAAAAAAAAAAATCTTAAGACTTTGTGCCGAGTCAAATTAACTGATCTAAATTAAAACGGAAGGAGTAGATTAGAACGTGGTGGAATAGTAGCTACCTATCTATCTATCAGCTGGTATATCGACTTCTGCCTAACTAGAAACTGTCAGATCACCAACTCTAACCATTTAAGTCAAAAATCCCCCCCCAAAAAAGGCAAAACCTCAATCAATAGCAAACAAATACAAATATATATAGACACGCATTGCAGCGCAGCAATCTCTGTTATTCTGGTAATAAAACAGCAACAAATCCATGGAGATGAAATTATATCAAACAGCTTCAATTTGTTTGCTGCTGCTGATGATACAGAGTCAGAGTGCTGAGGGTCAAGATAGGAAGTGCATAAACAAGCTGCTGCCTTGCATGAAATTCCTGAATGGAACAAGAGGGAATCCACCAGATAGTTGTTGCAATCCACTAAAAGATGTGATAAAGAACATGCCTGAATGCTTGTGTCAAATGGTAAGTATCAAAGGCAGCAATGCAGCGGAGAAAGCTGGGATTGACATTAACGCTGCTCAAATGTTGCCTGCTAGATGTGGACAGCCTGTTAATTACATGGGATGTCTCAAGGGTACGTTTCTCTCTCAACTATTCATCGCTTTTTCCTACATTTTTTTTCTAGTAATAGTAGCGTCCGGTCTAGTTATTAGCGCCATCTTTGAGTAATCCCATGGATAATTGCTACTCCCTCCCCCTATTGATTATCTTTTTTACTTTTTACTCTTAGTAATAATTATCCTTCAAAACTACATACACCTAACTTTGTTCAAATACAAATGAAGAAAGATTAAATATTAAAACATGAATAAGGGTAAAGTAGTCAAAATCTCATCCTAATTAATTTTTCTTAAGGGGCGTGTACAAAAGAATCATGACAAATGATATGAGACGGATGTAGTACCTCCTATTAGCACAAGTTTAGTATCGGTAACTCCAAAACTAGATGCAATTTTAAGTGACTAAGTTCATCTGAACTCAATATACTTTCGATGCGGAACATAAATTTATATAAAAATTCCTTTAAATTGCAGTAAATAGTAGATCTATACATGAATCTATAACTTTAAAAATATAATATAACTTTAAAAATATAATAGTATCAATGCTAGGAATCTTAAAGATTGGTAGCGCGACCCCAACTCTTTTTTTTTCTTCCACTTGTCCTCGTCTATGTGCCTCAGTTCACTGTTTCGCACTGCTGCCAGCCCCTTTGCTTGTGCACCTCTCCCGCGAAGCACGAGCTTAGGACAAGCTAGCTTTTCTTTTTCTTTCTCGTTTCTTCAGTCTTGTATTGCTCCAAAACACCCGCTATTCTTCCATTATCATCCGAACTTGTTCTTACAAAAACAAATACGTAATGAATGTAAATCCATCTACTATTCATGCAGTCTTTATCATATCACATAAGACTTGGGACATAAAGATATCCAAAATCATGACTTTTTGCCAACTTTCAAACTCAAAGAGCTTATATGCTAGACTCTGAGTAACTCTATCTACAAAAGCTTACGAAAAAATCACCTTATGTTTTTTTTTGGGGTCTTTGCTAACATTTGAATCCGTATGATCTCTCCTGGCTTTTTTCTCCTTTTTCGTCCACCTTGGTTCAAACATTTGAATTCCTACAAATCTCACAAAATAATGGAGTAATACTTTGAGTTTTGGGATATGCACTTACAAAGAACTCTCTATTGCACAAAAAATTTGATTCGTTTCCCCCCCTTACCTACTGTATATTGCTGGCTTCATTTTTTTGGCATTATGTAAGCAAAAGTTAATGACAAACGCTCCTCTCCTACACACATCGGGTTTGTTTGACGATTTACTTAATTAATTGGCAAATTGCCTATGGAATAAGGAGGTTAATGGCTTTTTTATTTATATTAATTTAGTTATTTATTTTTATGTTCCTAATTTCCCACATGACAATTGATGTGGTCAAGTTAGAGTGACATGTCACAATAGGAAAAGATGGTATTATTTTATCATCTTTTCTGCCTTGCTTTTTCCCCAAACCATACTATGTTGGATTACTCTGGACATGATATTGTTGTTGTTTTGGTGCCTTGGCCCCTCCTAAAACTATGATTCGGATATATTCTTACCTTGCTAATTTCATCTGGAGGACAAAGATGGAAAGAACAAGTATCATTGAAACTCGTGGACCACCATAAGCTATATATCCTCACTTGGAAGGTGAAGTTGGTTTCAAAAGGCTTAAGGACATATGTGAATCTTCTGCTGCTAAGAGATGGTGGTGATTTAAAGTTGAGGACAACCTTTGGACCAAAGTTCTTTAGAGTAAACACTGTCCTAGATCTAATACCATCTCCAATATTCTAGCGCCTAAAGACTACAATATTTGGAAAAGTCTTGTAGACTCGAGGACTAATTAAATTTGAACTCTTGTATATTTTGAAAAATCAATGAGGGAAACAGCCTATTCTGGCGAGATAGATGGTCTACTATTGATCCCATCAACCAACTCAATACTTCTACAAGAAAGCTAGGAAACAACTAGGTGAAGACTCTTTGAACAATCATGTTTGGAACTCTAGGCTCCTGGAAAACATTGTCCCACCACATGTCTTCATGAGATTCAAAAAATGGAGATCAGAAACATAGCAATCAAAGATCAGGCAATCTGGACCTTAAATCCCCAAGGCACATTCACTTGCTTTTCTGCCTTTCGGTTCATCAGACAAAAGAACAACCACAATCCTCTTCTAACAAAGCTCTAGGACAAGGAATTTCCTTTTAATGTATATTATCCTTTGCCTCTTGGAGAACATTTATAAAGAAGCTACCACTTGATGACATTATAAATAGATTGGATTTACCTGTAACTTCTATGTCTACATGATGTAGACAACCTAAGACTGAGACCCTGAATCATGTATTTGCTTATGGTAACCTATTAAAAATATACTTTAGAAGCGGCCCTCAGTAAATTATTTTATGTTCACCTTAAGAGTTATTTACTCCACTAATTTAGTTTGAATTTGAAAAAATATTTTTGAACTAGTCTCTAGGAGTTTGTTAATTTCAACAGATTTTGTGTTGATTTTTAGGTCTTTTAAGTTAGTAGTTCTCTTATAAATTATAGTCCAAATGCAGTGAAATAACATAGAATTTTCAGGTTCAGTTCTTTAGAGTTCCTTTTATATCTATTCAAGTATACTCCTTTTATTTTTCTGTAATCTTCCCTTATTATTTTCTTTAGTTTCTTGATAGAACTGGTATCGTAGCCATCTTCTTAAGGGACCTGAGTAAAAAACATTCTTGAGTAAAATAGAGATTGAGACGAGTTTTTTCCAATTGGCTCCTCCAATCTTTGATGGTGAAAATTACCAACTGTGGGTAGTGAGAATGAAGACTTACTTAGAGGCTTTAGATCTTTGAGAGGTGTTGAAGAGGATTATGATGTTCTTCCACTGCCTAACAATCTTACCGTGGCCTAGATCAAGACTCACAAGGAAAAAAACCCAGGAAATCAAAGGCAAAACCAACTTTATGCACTTGACGATATATTGGTGTATTCTCGCAGCCGAGAGGATCACGAGCAGCAATTGAGGATCGTGCTCCAGACTTTGAGGGAAAAGAAGCTTTATGCTAAAATCTTCAAGTGCGAGTTTTAGCTTGATTCAGTGGCATTCTCGGGCCATGTGATTTCCAGTGAGGGGATTAAGGTGGATGCGAAGAAGATTGAGGCAGTTCAGAACTGGCCTAAACCTTCATCAGCTACAAATATTCAGAGTTTCTTGGGTTTGACGTGTTATTATCACCGTTTCGTGGAGGGTTTTTCATCCATCGCATCTCCTTTGACTAGATTGACCCAGAAGGGTACACTATTCAGATGGTCCGATGAGTGTGAAGCGAGCTTTCAAAAGCCCAAGACTTCATTGACTACAACCTCAGTGTTAGTATTGCCTACAAGTTTAGGATCTTACACCGTGTATTGTGATGCATTACGTATTGGGCTTGGCGCGATGCTGATATAGGACGGTAGGGTGATTGCCTACGCATCTCGTCAGTTAAAGGTTCATGAAAACAATTATAATGTGCATGATTTAGAGTTGGCATACATTGTTCACGCGCTGAAGATTTGGAGGTACTATCTATACGGCGTTCCATGTGAGGTTTATATCGACCATCGAAGTCTCCAGCACCAGTTCAAGCAAAATGACCTTAATTTGTAGCAGCGGAGATGCTTAGAGTTGCTGAAAGACTATGATATCACCATCCTATATCATCTGGGAAAGGCTAATATGGTGGCCGATGCATTGAGTAGGAAGGTTGAGAGCATGGGCAATTTGGCATATTTGCCGGTAGAGGAGAGAGTACTAGACATGGATGTTCAGGCTTTGGACAATCAGTTTGTGAGGTTGGATGTTTCGGAGCCTAGTCGAGTTCTTGCTTGTGTTGTGGCACAGTCATCGTTGTTGGGGCGTATCAAGGTTCTCCAGTTTGATGATCCTCACTCATTGGTGTTGAAGGATACGGTGCAGCAGGGTGGTGCCAAGGAGGTTCTGATTAGAGATGATGGGGTTCTATGGCTTCAAGGCCGGATTTGTGTTCCAAATATTGATGGGTTAAGAGGGTTGATCCTTGAGGAGGCTCACAGTCTATTCTATTCACCCATGTACATAAAGATGTACCGTGACTTGAAACAACACTGTTGGTGGCAAAAGATGAAGAAAGGTATTCTTGCTTACGTCTCTCGGTGTTTGAATTATCAACAGGTGAAGTACGAGCATGAGAAACCGGGTGGATTGACTCAGAGATTGGAGAATCTGGAGTGTAAGTGGGAGCTCATCACTATAAATTTTGAGGTAGGCTTACCACATACCTTGAGGATATATGATGCAGTCTGGGTTATAGCGAACTGGTTGACTAAGTCTGCACACTTCATTCTGGTGATGACTTCCTATTCTTCAGAGCATTTGGATCAGATTTACATCTGGAAGATTATCCGTCTCCACGACGTGCCTATTTCTATTATTTCTAACCGAGGCACACAGTTCACTTTGCATATTAAAGAGTTGTGCATCGTGAGTTGGGCACGCGAGTCGAGTTGAGTACACTATTTCATTCTCAGACAGACGAACAATTCGAGCGCACTATTCATATATTGGAGGACATGTTGCGGGCATGCTCTATCGATTTCAGAGATCAACGGGACTAGTTTTTACCTTTAGCGGAGTTCGCCTGCAACAACAGCTATCAGTCGAGCATCCAGATTGCTCCGTACGAAGCCTTAAATAGGAAGCGATGCCGTTGGCCAGTTAGTTGGTTTGAGCATCCAGATTTGGTTCATGATGCTTTGGGAAAGGTTAAGGTGATTAAGGAGAGATTTCGTATAGCTCAGTCCAGGAAAAAGAGTTATACTAATTGAAAGGTTCGAGATGTGGCTTAAATGGTGGGTGAGAAGGTTCTTCTCCGAGTATCACCTATGAAGAGCGTGATGCGGTTTGGGAAAAAGGGGAAGTTGAGTCCAGAGTTTATTAGCCTGTTTGAGATCTTGGAGAGAGTTGGGGAGGTTGCTTATAGGTTCTCATTGCCTCCTAGACTAGCAGGGGTACATCCGGTATTTTATATTTTCTTGCTTCAGAAGTACCATGATGAGAGGTCTCATGTTTTGGACTTCAGCATGGTGCAACTTGATGAGAATTTAACTTATGAGGAGGAGCCGGTGGCTATTCTAGATCGGCGGGTTCGAAAGTTGAGATCTAAGATTTTTCCTTCTGTGAAAGTACAATGGAGAGGCCACCCGATTGAGGAGGCTACGTGGGAGTCCGAGTCCGATATGCAGAGTAGATACCCACACCTTTTTACCAGTCTAGGTACTTTTCTATATCCATTCGAGGACGAACGTTTCTTTTAGAGGTAGAAAATATAACTACCTGATAGGTCATTTTGAGTACTAGCCTTAATTTTTGTGTTTCGAGACCTCTCATCTTCATTTGATATTTCTTGATTTGCGTGAATGGTTTGTGACGTTTTTCGAAAAGCTTTTACATATAATTTTGAAGAAAAAGTGATTTTTGACTAAAAATAAAGGTAGAGTTTATCACGGTCAACGTTTGTGGTAAACGACCTCGGATTGCTGTTTTGACAATTCCGGTAGATTCGTATGTTATTTTTGGACTTGTACGTATGTTTGTTTGGAGTTCGGGGTGATCCGAGCGCGTTTCAGCGCATAATGTGAAAGATTGTGAAAAATAAGTTTTCAAGTTGAAATCTTGAGTTTTGATGATCCATTCTTGTTATTTGATGTTATTTTGATGATTTGAGATAGCGAACGAATTTATGTGATGTTATTACACTTGTGTGCATATTTGGATTAGGGACCGGGGGAAGGGGAGGGTGCGTCTCGGATTGATTTCGGACCATATTTGGACTTGTCATGAGTTGCTGGTTTTCTGCTGGTGCATCAGTGCTTCGCGATCGCGAAGGGGAATTTTGGGGCTGGGGCTGGATACTCTACGCGAACGCGAGAGGTAGGACGCGAACGCAAACACTTTAGGGGACTACCCTTCGGGAATGCAGCATACATGGCTGGGGAATGCCTTCACGAACACGGTGGGGACCTTGCGAATGCGAAGGCTAAGTGTCCTGTGTTCTTCGCGAACACGACAGGTGCTCCGGGAACGCGAAGAGCACTTGACGCCCAGTAAAATAAAAGATGAAAAAATGGGATTTCATTATCTGTCACTATTTTTGAAACCCTAGAGCTCAGACTAGAGAGATTTTCATCTTTCACCATTTTTGAAACCTAGAGCTCGGACTAGAGAGATTTTCATCCCAACTTCATTGGTTAGTACTTTTCAACTCATTTTGATATATTTCCATAATCACCCATTGATTTTTAACCTTATATTTAGTGATTTTAAAGAAGAAATTGGGGTTTTTGGGTAGAATTTCGGAAATTGGTAAAATTAAGTTTTAAACCTCGAATTGAGGTCGGATTTCGAAACAAATCATGTATTCGGACTTGGGGGTGAATGGGTAATCAGAACTTGGTCCGAATCTTGAATTTTGACCAAGCGGGCCCGTGGGTTGATTTTTGTTGACTTTTTTAATTTCATTAAAGATTGAATCTTTTTCACTCATGGGTAGTTTTTAAAGCTTGTTTTGAATTGTTTGAACTATATTTTGATAGATTCGATTGGTTTGGAGGCTTATTCTAAAGAAAAAGCCGTGGTTGATTATTGACTTGATTCCGGAAAGAGGTAAGTCTCGTGGTTAATCTTGACTTAGGGAATTAGGACTTGAGTGATCTATTTACTACTTGATTTATGTGTGGGGACGACGTATATGCAAGGTGATGAGTATATATACATTGTTATGGGTTAAGCATACGGGATGGGCTACTCTATTTTTTGTCTCCTCTTGTTTCATGCCTTCATTTACTCCAGGTTACTACGTGTTAAATGCTTTAATTGTTAATTGCCTTGTTGAATTCATGCTTTTATTTGTTACATGCCTTAATTATCTATATGTTTCCATGAATTTGTGTCTTTATTATTGACTGTCTTTACTTGCCTTATGTTTTTTATGTTGTTAGATAACCACTTTTATTCATTTTATGTCGTTATTTATTTAATTTCCTTATTGCGTTTCATTATGAAATACTCCATAGTTGGTTGTAGCTTTACAGTTACATGTTATATATTTAGGATCGGATTGCACGCCGTAACAGATATTGGTATTGTTATTTGGGATCGGGTTGCACTCCACAATGGATGTTGGTATTATTAATTTGGGATCGCGTTGCACACCACAACGAAGATTGATATTGTTGTTTGGGATCGGGTTGTACGCCGCAATGGTGATTGGTATTTGTATATACATATATTTATGGATCGGGTTACACACCGTAACAGAGAAGACATATTGATTGTTCTTAACTGTTGATTCCATATCCGTGTTGTATTGAGGAATTGAGTATAGATTTTATAATAGGGGCTCTTTGTTATGTATTTTCTATTTCAGTTTTCATGTTAATTCTTGTTTTTCTATTTCAGCTATTGTTTTACATATACTTGTACATGTTTATAGTAAGTGCCTTGTTATAGTCCCGTTACTAATTCGTTGAGGTTAGGCTCGATACTTACCGAGTACATGGGGTCAGTTGTACTCATACTACACTTCTGCACTTCTTGTGTAGATTCTGGTGTCGGTCCCAGCTAATGAAGGCATTACTCGGACTTCTATTAATTCAGAGACTTAAGGTAGAGCTGCACAGCATTCGCAGACCCTGCAGTCACCTTCCTTTTATCTTTTGTACTGTTTTATTTCATTCAAACAGTTGTATTTTTATTCAGACATTGGTTGTAGCAATTTTAGTAGCTCACGTACTTGTGACATCAGATTCCGGGATTAGACTAGACGACGTTTGGAGTATATTATATCATTTTGAGGTTCTACAGTTTTGCTACTTATTAAACTATTTTAAAATTTGTTTAAAATAAATAGTTGTGTGTTAATATTGGCTTGCCTAGCAAGTGAACGTTAGACGCCATTATGGTCCCGAAGTTGGAATTTCGGGTGGTGATACTTTGCCTGACCAGTTTAATTCCTTACTGACAACTCCTCTGAAGTGCAGGAAACTTTACAGGGGATTGAATGGTGCTGCATGCAATTACATTTTCATAGTCTCCCCAGGAACTTGACTCACTGTTAGTTGTCAACAAGATCCTTGCCAAAAGCAAAGCACCATGGAGGCTGCAAGATGACATATAGAAAACACTTAGGCATTTGTTATAACGGTTTTCCTACTGTATTAGAACGATATTCTTATGCAAGTTGGAGTGTTAATGATAATAAATTCACTTCAAACTAAATATTTATTCTAAGGGTGGGAAAGAAGCGGAATGGCTGAGGAACATGTCATTAGATTTAAAGTTGTGACTTGTGACAACCTATGTCAGTTATATTTTTTGATAGTGAGACTACCATGTGTGTAGCTCACAAATGGAAAATCAAGACATATAATCTTAAGACGTGTTTATATAAGAGAATTAACTGCAAATGGAACTATAACTATAATGTATATGAGATTAAGAAATGGCTGATTCACCAACCAAACCGTTGACAAGAGAGAGTAAAACAAAACTTATGAAGCAATTTAAACATCAAAGATAACTTTATATATATATACACTATTTTAGCTCCAAATGGATATTTTTATATGAACTTGCTTTAGAGCTCAGACATGATATAGCACTTGACAACCTAGTCCTGATCATGTTTGGGGAATCATGGTAGCCCTATTTGATTATTTCTATCTTATTGATGGGGTTCGATCTAATTTTCCCTTCCTCTCCCTCTATTATAATAAATTTAAAAAACGAAAGAAGTCTAATCATGTTTGGGTGTTGAGATGTAGACTTGCCAATAAGATTATGTTTAATTTGGGGGTTTCAAATGTGAACTTCCACGTGAAATGGTTGATGAAGCAGCTTATTTACATATTCCCTCCGTCCCAAAAAATAATATTTTTCGAATTTCAAGAGTCAAACTTTGTGAACATTTATATTTTTTTAAATAAAAGTTATATATTTAAAAATTACATAAAAAGTACTATTAGGGGTCGTTTGGTATGTTGTATAAGAATAATGCTGAATAAGGTGTATTAGTAATGCAGAGATTAGTAATGCATGGGATAGTAATGCAAGCATTAGTTATAGAGAGATTATTTTTTATTCATTGTTTGGTGTGGTGTATTAAAAATTAAAATACATTGCATAATTTTTAAAAAATTAGTTGTTTACAAAAATGTCCTCTATATTCTTTAGCTTTAAGGGACTTTAAGGATAATTTTGTCTTCAATCATGCTAATGCATGCATTAATAGCCTTGGTATTACTAATAACATTGCTTCCTATGCATTAGCTATACATAAGATAATACCAAATAGGATATATAACTAATGATTGTATTAGTTATATATATGTTGAAAAAGTGTACCAAGCAAGGTATTACTAATACACAAAGCTAATGCATGCATTATTTTCTCTAATGCACTCTACCAAACGACCTCTAAGTCATAATAATTAAAAATTTAAAATATTTAAAAAGTATATGAAAAAGTCGTAGTGAAACCTAAAAAGGAATGCTTTTGGGACAGAGGGAGTAGCTTTCTACAGGTTTGACTTTGGACTAAATTGTGGAGACCTAGTTAATTCTTGACTGGTAGAACCATACGGTGCTTCAAAATGGGCTGTAGAAGGTCTAACAATGTCAGTTGTATGGCTGTCCAACGGGACGGGACGAGACAAAATTAACAGGACGGGACGATATTTAGCCGGAACGGTGGCGGGACGGGACGAAATGGGACGGGACAAACGGGATGAAACAGTAGGCCCATCCCGT